TTATTAAACAACAGCGGCACAGACATTATTACAGCCAAAGTTAATTTCTGTCAATGTCTGTGATCAGTTTTCTCAATGCCATCACGACCAAACAGCTTAGCTGTACTTGAGGCCCAGAGTCTCGCTTTTACTTTGTAAGTACCAGCAAGGTTAACTCTTTAGAGACCATAGAGACAGAGCCACTGAGGCCAAGAAGATCTCATGCGGTCTTCCCTGGCTATGCAGCTTGGCGAGCGCTGGGGTTTGAATCCAGGAACAGACTCCGGATGGTCACTGAGCTGTAACATCAAGCAGAAACCATTCGACCCCGGCTTAACTTACCCTAATTAATAGGACAATCAGGAGTGCCGGGCACACAGGCAAAAGTCTGCAAGAAACACCAGTATCTCGTGAGAAAATCAGACACCGACCCTCTAACCCTGCAGACAGATGCCGGGGACGAATGAACACATCTTCACGTCTTTACCCTAACATTTAGTGTTGTAAGGACAGCCTCCTTTGAACTCTGACGCGGTGAGCACTGCTAACAAAGGCGGAGTCTGCAAGCCTGGCGTGCAGGGTGTTTGCCAGCTGCACCTGAGCAAGCTGAATCCCCATCAAGAGAAACGGTAACCCGTGGTGCTGCACTGTTCACACGAGATGCCATCTCAGAAGTCTCGAGCCAATTCCACACATGCTTCCCTTCTCTACGCATGGTAAAATAAATTACTAAGCAGTTTATGAAACCATCCATGCATGTTAAAGCTATAAGAATTTTATGTTTGCAAAATGACAAAATGGATAACTTTCACAATGTTGTGTACCTTTATAAATCAAATCAATCCTTTAACTTAAATTTTGGAGTCAAAGCATTTTTTTTATTTAATTTATTATTTTACATGTCGATCCCAGTTCCCTCTCCCTCCCTCCCTCCCTCTCTTCCTCCATCCCTCCCTCCCTTTTACCCTCTCTGCCCTCTCACATGCACTCTAACCACCCTCCCCACCCCCTCCCATCCCCCACCACAATTCCATGTGTAGGGGAATGCCATCCAGTTGGGGTCATGTAGATCTGACAGGTCCTGTGAAGTAGGGACTAGGGCTTCTCTCCTGTCTCTAGGTTAAGGCAGTTATCCCTCCATGGGGGATGTGTTTGCAAAGTCCTTTTGCGCACCAGGGATACATCCTGGCTCCACTGTCTGAGGTCTCTTAGACTGCAAGTTACTGGGGAAAAGGATTTCTATTTTTGTTTCCACAGAAAATGAAAAGATGTGGATTCCTTCCAGACTAATGTGGTTTGATCACGCCAGACCGCCTGAAACAGAGTACAAGCTGATCCTACATTCAAAACAGCTGGACAAAACAGCCCTACAGACTACAGCCAGGATATCTGAATCTTCTTAGAATCCCCCAAGACAGAGCCCCTTACCAGCAGGAAGTAGTTTGGAAAGAACGACGCCCAAATTCCGAAATATTGTGTATGTTTGTTTTCATTTAATTAGACTTTGTTATAAAAATTAAATAAAATAAAAATAAAGAAAAAAATCAAATCAATCACCTAGTTTCTCACGTTCCATCTTAACAGAATCTGAGCTAACTCGAGTGGCAAACCATCACAAGGTAATAATAAAACAGATGGCCAAGGAAGACTCTGAGGTCATACAGGACTACAAATACATTCGCAGGGGTGCACAGGAGTTCACGCCAGGGACAGGCCTGTCAGCTGTGCTGCAGCATCTCGCCTGTCCTGTGGGTCACGTGTCACGGTCTTACCCACTCACTACAAGCAGCATTCAGGGAGCAGTGCAGTCACAGACCCCATGATGTTCGGGACGAAATTATCCAACGCTTAGGTGTCTCCATGAAATACATCCCCGAACTTCTGACTTACTTCCTGTAAATACACCGCCACTAGAATGCATGTGGTGAACTTTGTATGTGTTAACCGCTTTCACAAGCTGTGGGATCCATCTGTCCATATCTGGTCAAGAGAGAAATCCGCTAGAGTTTCTGAGGGGATTTGGTTCAGCGACACCAAAGTCAATATGAGCGCCAAACAAGGGATGATTAGAAAAATACATTGTACAGCCAATAACTAGAAAATAACTATCCAAACAACTTCTGGGATATGTTCACAGACTGTAGACCCAATGTTGCTATCCATACGCCCCAAATTAACAGTCAAGCCAATCTCAATCAAAATCCTAGGGGGCTTTCTCTAAGAAGATAACAAGCAAGCTTACTCATAAGCAAGATGAATTTCAACCACTACTCACATCATCCTCACAAACTAACTGAAAACAGACCAGAGGTTCAATCATAAAATTTGAAACTATAAACTTCTAGAAGTCTCTGTGACTTCAGGATAGGCGAAGATGACTCCCAGAAGTCACGAAGCATAGAGAAACTTGATAAACCAACCAACAGCGAAGCAAACGAAAGGTGAACCACGGACTGGAAGAACATTTTGTGATTCATGTGTCTGACAGAGTGTGTATCCAGAACATACCGAGAACGGCCACCATCTAATGAGGAAATGAAGCAATGTTCTAACGTGAGCAAAAGACTTCAAGAGACACTTACTTAAGACGCTGGAGACCAGTAAATAAAACTAAATATGCAAATTAAAACCACCAGGAGCTACCTGACCCAGAAGAGCTGAGAGGAAACACTAAGAACACGTGAGAGCATGCAGTGATCACTCGTCAGACGGCGAAGTGGGAGTCCTTGGGAGACGGCCGAGAAGTTTCTCATCAACCGAAACCTGCAGCTCCACAGGGTCAGCGATCCCACAGCCAGACGTTTACTCAGATTACAAGAAATCTTAATGTTTATATGCAAATGCTTACAGCATTGTTTTCCTCAATCTGGGGAGGGGAGAACGTCCTTTGTTAAGGAATGGACAGTCTCTGGGACACCCACCAGAAGACGCTGTTGACACAAGAGTTCAGCTACAAACATTTCACCTAGGTCAGAGGCCAGAGTCAACAAATGCTACATATAATGCATGCATGGCTACGTGTGCGCTGGGCTATCACAGGCAAGCAGGGGCCTAGGAAACATGCAAGGTGTCTGAGAGAAGACGCATAGAGCGCTCAGCACGGCAGGCAGACTAAAATGGGTATTCAACTGTATATATCTGTCAAAATTCTGAAGTAGGCCTTAAAACACATTCTATTTAAGTTATCCTTTGTTTAATTCTTTGAGGGTTCCATACATTTATATAATGTATCTTTTTAATGAAAAACTATAGCCATGGTCAACATACATGAATTTCGCAAATAAAATATTAGCACAGAAGACAAACCACAGTATCTGAAGGAAACAAACTAAGAGCAAACTACATTCCTCTGCTCGAGACAGCTCCATGACTGCACCTTACCATGCCTAGGTTACAGAGAGCACACACAAACGCTGTTTCTTACAGTTACTCCAGTTAGTGTTACAGACGAATGACTCCATTCTATGTGATTAAGGGTGTGTGCTAAGACTACATAAAAGATATAAAAAGGCCTACCTGAACCAATATAATACATTGTTTCCTTTATGTGAAAGTGTTTTCAGAAGGTAACTAGCATTTTTAGTAACACTGTATTAATACTGTTGATCTAAACTTTGAAAAAGTAAAAGTTCTTGAGAAAGACAGGAATGGAATTCTCATGTTAGCTGGATGAAGGAGCCAGCACTGTTTTGTGAAGGTCTCACTACGCTGCAAGGGACAGCTAATGCTCGGGTGCAGTCCCCTGCCTGAACCTTTCAAAGAGACGGGAGTCCAGGGACACTGGTACACACACTCACTAGAGGGTCGCCAGCTAAACAGCAGCACCCTAAATACAATATGTTCGCAAACACTAGAGGGCGCACTAAGCCAGCAGACTTTGGAATGCAGCTGTAAATTTTAGTTTTATCCTTAAATATAAACTGAGACAATTGTCAGCACTAAGAATTTTGCTTTCAAACAAATACACAGAGAAAATCGAAAAGGCAAAAATCCATCCTTCCAGGCTATTTAACAAAACTTATTACAATCCCACTGCCATGCTAATCCTCTCCAGCATCCAGTTAATACACACAGTAATTCACACGTGTGAAGTCCCTTGTGTGCAAGGGAGGTCACACCAGGGTTCGGGCGGCTAAATGGGAGTGAGCCTTTCACGGGTTAAAGTCGAGGAAAGTTTAAAACAATCTGGTAAGACATATGCTAATGTATAAATTATGCCACAGTTTATTGACATTTTAAAATGTGTTTAGCGTTTTTTACAAATGCAATTTTAAAGGTGCTATTTAAAAATTAATAAAATTGTTACTTTCTGTTGCTCTTATCTGCTGCCTTCACAGTTTTATAAACCAACAGCCACGAGGAATAGCAAAAATAAAAACTTAGGGCTATGAAACCTAGAACAAGAAACGAGACACTGCCCAAGTCCTCACAGAAGTCTTTTCTGGCATTTTAAGTTACTTCTGTTCCTCTCGGTACTATAAACCCTTAACTAGGCACGCTGCCACCGGTGATCCGGAAGGGCCTGGACTATGAGCTGTATCAGGCAGCACAAGGAGACAGTTACAGACTAGAGCAAGGCCCCACAAAAGTTTCCCTTAACTGACCCTTTATTTAATTACAATGAGGCATTTTGCTTTTCAAAATTACAGGGAAAACTTGAGCATTATAAGTACTTCAAAATCCCAACTTGACCCAATTTCCCTCAGCCTCTCTCACATAAACCCACACAGGCCACTGCCCCTTCTTCCCCTGACTGATCACCAAGAGATCCAAGGGCAAAACATGGGTGACAGACTTGCTGACATCTCAAGCCTTCTTAGCACATCTCAAATTGCAATATGACCAACACTGTACTTGGAAATCCTCACACTCCAATCACAATCACAGTTTCCCAGCCACATATACTTACAGCCTCTTTCTATACCCTGAAAAAGCATATGAATGGTAAGGACCAGGGAGAAACACACATCCACAAAGCACAAGCCTAGGACTTCCCATCCGTATAACAACTAAGATGGTACCTGCTCTCCACCACTGGAGAACCCGGCTGCAGGCTTATCGTCTCTGTTGTGATTTCCACTTTCCGCACACTTCCAAAGAAATCCGTTATCAGGACATGTTTAGGATCTCGCTGAAAAAGGTCAGTGCGATGTCCGGGAGTAGACACACAGAGACTTTTGGGACAAACTTGAAACTGAAAATAATAAGACAATATTAGTAACAGTGGTGAGAACATACCCAAACAACTACAGTGCATTCTAAAGATAAGGCACTGGTTAAGACTGGCATTGCATTCCTACTGCAGTATCTGACACAAGGAAGCCTACAGCATTAGCAGAGTGCTAAAAGGAAGCCGGCCTGCCTCCAACATTACAGTCAAATAAACTGGGCCACAGTAGTCCAATATGCGAAGTAGATTAAAGAGGAGCCCAACGGACTCCATGGTCACCTACAGCACACCTCTCACTACTGCAGTCAAACTATGTGCCGCTTAGTCTAACCGCAGTGGAAATAAACCCAAGTACCGCCAAGACACGCCCGTGTTCCAAAGATGGCGCTGCAAACCATGACTCTCCACTCACACACGTGTTCAGCTGACCTGTCACACTCCACATTAGTGATTATCAAGACACATGCTCACTCACTGTGGAAAGCAACAGGAGTTCACATAGTCACTTTCAAAAGATGACCAGGTGCCAGAGACTAGAAAACAGAAAACAGTCACCAACAGCACAGTGCATTTAAAGGAGCCCTGATATTCTACTGCTCCTACAGCACCCAGCACAGCCCTACGACCACAGCCCTCAGCAAACTTTATCTCCAGGCAACAGAAAAACAAAACAAGACACAAATCAAATCCCTACGATCACTTTACAGGTCATTTTTATGCATGAGTGCACGTGTGCATGCATAGTGCACAAGTGTCTGAGACAAGGTCTCTCTAATAGGCCAGGCTGTCCTCAAACTCATAGAGATCCACCTGCCTCTGCCTCCCTAGTCCTGGGATTAAAGGCCTTCGCCACCACAGATGGCACTTATGGATTATTGTTACTGAAAGACATTCATGTAGTCATCAATGAAATTTCAAATGGAAGCAAGAAACCAAGGTAAGATATTAAAAAGAAGTGTGGACAGATGATAGACTGTGTGTGTGTGTGTGTGTGTGTGTGTGTGTGTGTGTGTGTGTACACTGTAATCAATTAAAAGTCTAATTATTTCTCATAATTTCAATGGGAAAAACATTTTCAAATTTATTTTACACATTAAAATAACACATTTTACACATTTTAAAATTAAGCACTATAAACCAGGTGATGCATTTTCTTCCCAGAGCAAATGTTCATCAATTTCCATGGGAGATAGGTATGACAGGAGCCATTGTGCTCAGGGTCTGTGACAGCAGACGTTCTTAGGGGAAAACATGTTTTTATAAGGGAGAGAAATAAGTTGGTGCCCTCTGTCTACTTAAACACTGAAATGGGGCGGGGGATGTGTGTCAGGAAAAGCCACAGGAAGAGCTCGCCTGGTTTGTGGTGCTCACACAGTCTGAACCAATAGCCAGGGAGCCTGACTGGGACTGACCTGGGCCCTCTGTATGTGGGACTCCCAGCAATTCGCACAGGGGCTGCCCCAGGCTTGGCCTGGCTCTTGGGAACCTACTCCTCATGCTGGATGGCCTTGCCCAGCCTCAATACAGGGGAAGGTGCTTGGTCTTATGACAGCTTGATATGCCATGCTTTGCTGATACACAGGGGAGGCTGCCCCTTCCTGAGCAAGTGCGGAGAAGGGGTGGAATTGGGAGGGCAGAGAAAAGAGGGAGAGAGTGGGCGGAGAACAGGAAGGGGAGGCGGCAGGGATGTAAAATTAATTAATCAATTTTTAGAAGTGAAGTTAGCATCATAAGAAGTTTGATTTAATACTGAAGTCCCTACCAGAATTTAACAAGCATCAAATACATATCTTCAGACTGCTGTTAGTGAGGACTCCTTTCACACTGGCAGCCAGCAGCAGCAGCTCTGAGAATCTGGCAGACTCCTTCAGTACTGACAAGTCACTGGAAAGGACTCTGCTCAGTGACAGCCCAGTGCAGAGCTGCTCAGTTGCAGGGTAAGGACAGAGCCACTCAGGTCTAAGCTCTGGGCAGGGGCAGTGTCTGCCCCATGCTGTGCACAGCCAGTGAGCACACTCATCAAACACTGGGGACCATCCTGAGCCAGGTGTCACAGTGCAAGCAGGACCCTGGCCCTGGGAGGGCAGGACAGGGGACAGGGGAGCGGTGTGTGCAGATGAGTGGACACAGTGTAAGCAGGTGGACAGCGACGCCATCGCACAAGCACCGTCTGCAGCTTTGCCAACTCAACAGCAACTTCCAGCTGCTCTGAATGAAATGGCACAATCAGCACAGGAAAGAAGGGAACTTAATTAATTCAAGTTACCCTAAGAGACCCGGCTAGGAATTATAGGCTACAAAAACCTTGTGCAGGGAGTTAGCTCTTCCAAGAGCTTCTCCTTGAATGACAAGGACTTCACTCACTGCCTGAAATCAACAAAAGACAGGCTGTGGTAAATGTTACAAAAGAGAAAGTTAGTTCTATGGAAGCTCTGAGAAGGAAGTTCCAAGAAAGAACTCAGGTGGCTTTCCTGGAAGGGCAGCACTTCCAAAGCTGGGCAGACAGCTTTTAAAACATGCAAATGAAAGGAAGCGGTCAAGGTCCTCGGGAATAGGGGGACTGGGTTAAAGCTTGAGGCCCTGTGTGCTAAAGGACATCCTGGGAGACAACAAGACAGCCAGGCAGGTAAGGGCACATGCCACCAAGCCTGGGGATTCGAGTCCCATCCCCAGGACCCACATGGTATAAGAACAGAATCGCCTGACTTCCTCAAGTTGTCCTCTAGCTTCTGTACACACACATATGCACACACAAACACACACATGCACATATCCAAACACTGCTCATACACACACACACACACACACACACACACAGAGAGAGAGAGAGAGAGAGAGAGAGAGAGAGAAGCATAATTTTGAAGTTTTTTTCAAAGAAGATACTAATTTTAAAAAAAGAAAAGGTGATTCAAAGCAGTTAAAAAGGCCACACCATACGTTCAGACAGCACCCATGAGAATCCGGGAAGAACAGACCTCATGAACCGCATTAAAGCTAGCACACCAATATGGTGAAATCAAATCAATGGAATACTTACAAGGTCATTCATGTTAGTTTGGCTAGCTGGATTAATCTCTTCCAAAAACTCCAAGACATAAAACGTGTACCTATCCATGAGATGAACTCCAATTGCCGGGTCTGGTTGATGCTGTGAAAGTGGGGAGCACTTGTCAAATGGGATCATCTTAACAACTGTTTAAAATACCAGTTTCCTGCTCACAAAGCCCAAGGGTAGCACACATTCATAACACATACAAAGTGATCTGAGACAGCAGAGGGAGCGCTGACCGACAGCGAGTCCTCCCCAAGAATAGCACACATTCATAACACATGGGAACTGATCTGAGACAGCAGAGGGAGTACTCACCGACAGCGAGTCCTCCCCAAGAATAGCACACATTCATAACACATGCGAAGTGATCTGAGACAGCAGAGGGAGCACTCACCGACAGCAAGTCCTCCCCAAGAATAGCACACATTCATAACACATGGGAAGTGATCTGAGACAGCAGAGGGAGCACTCACCGACAGCGAGTCCTCTCCTACTTGGCTACTAGCCAAGGCCATGATGTTAGGAGAGTAAAACCGCTCATACATGGATGCGCCTTGGCAAGTATCGATGATAAACAACAGCTCATTGTAGCTGGAAAAAGTGATAAAGTCTGACATGAATCTCCACTAATTCAATAATGCGGCCCCAGATCATCTCTTCAGCTAAAGTTAAGAGAAGAATTCTACTCCTGAAAACACTTCAAAAGGGGCCAGGGTTAGACCCCAAGGCAGCTGCCTCCCTCTGTCTGCCCCTGTTCTTAGCCACGACTCAACCCACACAAATCCTCGACACAAAGGTTTTCTTGGAAACTTAACACGTACAGACAGCTGTAACTCCTTGTATGAGCACGCATGTGTGTATAGGTTCTACCCATGCTCATATTTCATGCATTTGCATGTATGCTCAGTCACACATACAGCACACAGTGCAACTGGAAGGAAACCCAGCCACCACTAGAGGAGTGAGGCCCGTGCTGCAGACAGAGGCGGGCACGGTGTCTGCGCCCTGCTGCCATCCCCAGGGGAAAGGCACCGTGGCCGGCGGGCTCCATCCATGGTGGCAGGAGCTTGTGGCATACCCACATCTCTGTGGTTCACAATCTGAAAGCCCTGGCAGTCACCCTCACAGTCCACCCCAGAGAGCCATTTCTGTCAGCTCCGCCCCAGTCCGTCAATCTGGGGCCACCAGCTGGCAATGCAACCCTCACAGGCTCATGGTCCAGTCTTCCTTCTCTGCTTCCTCATCCTCCAAGACGTGAAGAGGCAATCACAAGCTGCCACCACGAACAAGCGTGCCCATACTGTGTCCCTCCTTACAGAGACAACTGCTCTTCCGCCTCTCCTCCCCAAATACGCTTGCATCCCAGCAACAAGAAAACTGCCACTCAGAGGTGGCGTCACAGTTGCACTACACGTGACATATAAGTATGGGACAGTTTGGAACTGTGGCCTAGAAAAGTCCCAGGGTGCTCTTGGGCCACCTGGCAGGGGTCAGAAGATCAGCATGCCAACAGAAATATACACAAGAATGCCTGTGCTCGACAGGTCTCGCAGGAGACCACCAGGAACTGGACTAGAGACAGCCCGTTTGTATTCTGGCAAAGAATCGGGCTACATTTTGACTTTGCTCTGCAACCTTGAGTGAGGCTGAATCAAACATAATAAACTAATTTAGTGGCACACATCTGTAACTTAGGCACTCAGGAAAGAAGGTGAGTTTAAGGGCAGCCTGGGTTACACAGTGGGACTCTGCTTCAATCATACACACTGGGGGGGGGGGGAGAAGACACTTTAGCTACATGACATGTGACCCTACAAGCCAGGGCCAGTGGCAGGGCTCCATAGGAAAAGGCTCTGGTGACCAAGACTTAGAACCTGAATTCAGTTCCCACAACCTACATAGTAGGACAGAACCAACTCAACACACACACACACACACACACACACATACACGTATATACATACACATGCACACACGTGCACAAATGTACACATATACACAACACTAAATACATAATTAAAAATGTTTCAAGTGAACTCATTCATGTTAAATAATAACTGAGTATTTCTTTCACAAAGTTCTGTTCAATTAATAACAAATATAAATTTCACAGAAGAAGAAATGATTGGGGAAGAAAATCCATGCCCCACAGGGTAATTTGATATCAGTGCATCCTGGAAGGAAGTCACTCGTCTGGGGCTGGGTGTATAGCCCAGACTAGAGCACATGCCCAGTGTGCACAGCCCTGACTGGGGCTCACACTGACACCACAGGAGAAACAACGGGAGATGTTAAAAATAAAGTGGAGTCACTGGCTAATTACCGTCTTTTCTGCCACATCTGTTCAAAAGCATCCGCAAGCTCTATGTTGGTGATTTCTTCAGAATCTTGGAATTTCAAGAAGCCATTTCCCCCATGACCTTGTAGAAAAGCCAAAAAGACAACACTGACACATTTCCCACTACATAAGAGATACATTCAGTAGCAAATGCAGCCAGACACATACACATCGTTCGTTGCAAGGTTTTAACACTACTTTCTTACTAAAGTATAGACTGGAAAGCAAATTCAGTTTTCACTATCAACTAAAAAAAGACTGCTAGACTGATTAAGAACATTACGTATAACTCCTTAAGAGGTTTTCTCTTATCCAATCATATAATCCACTGGCCTCCATTCGTATGTCTGAAGTTTATCTTACTCATAAAAATGTTTTACATTTTGGTGGGAACGAAGCTCATTCAGTGTGTACTCTATGTATTATTACTAGGAAGGATGGTTCTCAACTAAAAACTGATGTTGGTATCCCTAGCCACTGGACACGATCCATCAGAGCTGGCCAGGGTTGGGGCCATGAAAGAACCAGTCTGTCTGCACTCAGAGACTGGCTGCACCACTTACAGAGCATGCTATTATAGGTAAGTAACTTCATGTCTGCCTCCTTTTCCTCAGCCATAGTGAGAGCATCAGCAGCTCGCACAGCACCTCGTGCACACTGTTAAAGGTGCCGTCCTCTGGGCAATGAAGGAAGGAAAGGTGGATTTTAGTTCCAGCCCCATGACATATGTTTGGCTGCTGACTAAGTCTTTGTGGGTTAAGGTATATTTCTCCTTGCCACGAGACATCCCTGCAGCTGGACACACAAGCCAGTCGAACCACACTAGTTAGACCTCAGCCCCCTCTTAACACCAAGCCACGTGCTGTGTGCACTGTTAAGACCCACACAACCACACACTGTGGCTCTAGACAGCAGCACTGAAATCACAGGGCTGGCAGAGGCAGCGATTTTAAGACAGCTCATGGTGTACAGAAAGCCTCAAATACATCGGCTCTTATCATTTCATTGTCCTAATTATCAGCCAGTGCAATCTGTTGCAGACTTCAGCAACCTTTCCCTAAAAAGAACTGGACCGCAATGTTTACGCTATGAGTTTGCTTATCTCTGCCGCTGCAGCAGAAGAGCAGAAGGCACGGTGGGAGACGCAAGAAAAGCAGAGATGACAGTGTACCTAAAAGCCGCGTTCCCAAAACAAGCAGCAGCCACTCACGAGAGTCAGTGTCAGCCTCTACACTAAAACTGCTGGGATTCCCTTCTCAAAGATACAGCAATAAATCCGGGAGAGAAAGGCAAAGTGTGCAAACTGTGCAGCCTCGTACATGAACTGAGGCTAGCCCACAAATGACACCGATTGGGGGAACACGCTCACCACAGTCTCACGAACCCCACGCAGACCAAAACAAAGGACATCAGGCTAAGTCTGAGCTTAAGCAGTAAAAGTGGGACAGGTTTGCGATCTCCATTAGGTATTGGAGCAGCATGGCCAACAGGAGACTAAAGCCACGTGGGGTGTGGTGGCAGGGGACTAAGGAAGCCAACACAAAACACAGAAGCGTGCACTGTCCTCGTTCTAACGAGGGCCAGGAGAGCTGCCGATTGTGGCCACCGGTTTCCACATAGTCAGACACTCTGGGGCAGAACCCAGGCGTAAACATGACATCAACGATGTTTCTTACGCACGGAATCTGAAGGGAACTGTCCTTGCAGTGTGCCACATACGTCAGACGGGAATGTGTCCACTTTGCACCGGCTGGTGACAATTTCAGATTAAAGACCCCCCCACACCTACACCCTCTTCAATGTCATCAAGTAGTTCTGTGTCACGAGAATACACAAGTGCACACCAGGCTTGCTTAACTGAAGTCAAATTTCAGCATTAGCCCACGGGTTCCACCTCAGCCTGTTTTAACATAATCCCTACGGAGTACTGAAGTTCTGAAGTACCTGTCATATAAATGAGAATATTGCTTCTGTCATCGGAAAGAAGACGCTTTGAGCGAGGAGTACTAGGTGGCACCCTCCCAGTCAATACCCGCAAAAAGTTCTCCACGGTTACCTGAAAAATAAAAATACTTTCTTCAAAAAAAAGAAAATTCTGAAGAAATTCAAAACATTCCTCCTATCTACTTATTATTTAGCATAAATTGAAAATAAAACAGAAAACAAATTACAGTGCAATTTGTTTTAGGTTACTAAAATGAAGCATGTACCTCCATGTGCCTCTGCTCCTCACAGTAAAAGGCGTGGCCTATGGGTTTCTCTGTGTAGCTTTTTAGTGCAGGCTGGCCTTGAACTCCCAGAGATCCTATGGCCTATGGCCTATGGCCTGGCCCAAGCGGGGCACTGAGGCAAGGAAGGGTGACCTCGAGGCCAGAGCGGGCCACACAGCAAGTCGTAACCCAAAGAAAAGTCTCACGACTAATAATGACAGGGAAAAGCTACATTTGAGCAAATTAATTTTTTGTTTTGTTTTTCGAGACTGGATTACTCTGTTGCTTTGGAGGCTGTTCTGGAACTCACTCTGTAGACCAGGCTGGTCTCGAACTCACAGAGATCCTCCTGCCTCTGCCTCCCAAGTGCTGGGATTAAAGGCGTGCCACCACCAATGCCTGGTAGAATAATTTAATTTTAATATTATGTGTTAAAAATTGACTCCAAGGTTTACTGACTTATTTACAGAGGCAATTGTTTTGGAGGACACGAAATACAAACAATTGTGAATAACTAGGCATCACTCAGTCAATTAACCACCCCTGCCAAATTATGTATACTTAATTCTGGATGCCCTATGTCACTCAGATTCCCACTGGAATGTCTTCAACTGCAAAACACACTTTGAACAAATCTTCCCAGTTTGGGATGTCTGAAGGCATGTTTAAAGTTGTAGGAAAAAAAATATACCGATTTAAAGTTAATAGCTATGTCATGTGATGTGTTGTCCATATTTAAATTAAAACGCAGAAAATGCAGTTAGCCTTTTCAATGGATTTCCCCTAGATCATGAGTGTGAAACATATAGGAACATATGTGCACAGCTGGTTAGCTTACAGTTGTTCCCAGAATACAGCAAATGCTGATGGTTTTAATAGTCTTATTGGCTAACAAGGTAGGGAATGCTTTTACATTTTTAAATGACCAAATAAGTCAGAAGTCACACATTCAAACACACTCAGAACATTTCTGAGCGTCTCACTAGATCTAAGTCACAGACACAGGATGCCACCTGACAGCCTGCTGGGCTTGGAAAGTAAAAAGACTATTTACGATGGCTTCAAGCTCCAAACAGTCTTCAACTATCATAAACTAAGTTTCTAAGAAATAAAATACAGTATAATGCCATTCTTAGCTTACACATTACTTTTTTTCTTCTGTTTTGTGTTTTGAGAGAGGGTTTCTCTGTGTAGCTTTTTAGTGCAGGCTGGCCTTGAACTCCCAGAGATCCTCCTGCCTCTACCTCTGCCTCTGCTGAGATTAAAGGTCTGCCCGAATGCATATCACTTTTAATTGAGTAAGTGTGAAATAGTGGGAGTTCAAACAGGTGTGCCTGAGCTCTACACTGTAGCAGAGCCCTGACATCTACACAGCCCTGCTGGGAAACATGCAACCAAGTTTAGAACAAAAGAAAGAAAGAAAAACGTTTCAAACTGCTTCAGGAAGTCTGCAATCCTGTGTTGGGTTATGTTCATAACTATGTTGGGGAACACAGGGCCCACAGTGGGCAATAGGAGAAGTCTTCATTTATCACAGGGCTTTCCACAGTTCATACACCTAATAAAAGCGCTGAACCCGAAATTGTAGATCAAGTATGGAAACCGAACGTCTCCTGTTAGAAAAGTCGACGCAACTGTCCTTGACTTCAGGCACTGTGAACTCCAAAAGCAGATTACATTCCACTAAAGCTGAGCCTAGAGCTTAGAGAAGTCTCTGACAACGAACCTCGTAGCTTCTATAGTCCACTTCCACGTCATCTCCATACACGTTGAGCTCCATGTTCTTGTGGCTGAACACCGTGGCTGGCTTGGGGTTTCGGGCGTTGCAGGCCATATCATCCGCAAGCATCAGGACAATGTGACTGCAGGAGAATTCCAGAAACCCAAACTTTACACGAGGCCCAAAGCTAACCAATATGCTTCATGTCTAACAAACAGCAATTCTACCCAGCCTCTCCTTGTTGAAAATAACTGAATTTTCATGAGGCAGTTAAAGCCCTTAACTGTCATTGTAGTACACAACAGTGGGGTAAACTTAAAGCAGAGAGCAGGGACTGGACCATGAACTTTCCCACTGAACCCATGGTTAGAACTTTCCATGTAACAAAGGGAAGCTAAGAGCTGCAGCAGACAAACATTTTCACTTTTGGAGTATCTACAGTCCTCAAGACTATAAGAGTCCACACCTACGTATCATCTTCCCAGGAACTTAACTTTCAGCCGTGCAAGCACAAATCTGTCATCCGGGAGTCTGTGCAAGCGGTGTGGCCAGGCCCAGAGCTCACTCAAACCGCACCACACCAGCACACACACTCCAGCTCCCAGCCACCACCCTCTCTCCTGTAGATGCTGGGATGGGTCTCTGAGTCACCTCCTCCCGGAGTCCTGAGAACTCTGACCCTGTCTCAGTTTGCTAGACTCTCCAGAGTGACCTACCAACCACTAGTCAAAACTTTCCCCCTTAAAGCCGTCCGGGTCTGATTAAAGCGGAGGCTATGGAAAACGTCTCCTGGACTCACTCACCTACCACTCCCAATCATAATGCTTCACCTTGGCTGGCCTTCCTGTGCTTTTCACCGCCCAGGCCACTGACCAGTCAGACCTCACCAGTCTGACCTGGACATGGCACTCAGGAATCTGTCACCACTCCATGACAACACAGCCATCAGAGGACAGACTTGCACCTGTCCTGGTTGCCATCACATTCAGGACTGGAATACACAGCCAGTACTTATTAATTTATAAATGAGGGAAGCATTTTCCTTTTTTGAAAAACTGAAGAAGAAATTGGTCCCACCATTAAGACTGGGGAATGTGAGTCAGGAGAGTTCCCTATTCTACACACACATGAGCTTCCCAGCACAGAAGAAGCCAACATGGTAGTATACATAATTAGTTTATCAAGAGACTGCAAGAAGAAAATGTTCTACCTCACATGTTCCAGATACATTAAAGTTCAAAACTGAAACATTGTGATTTTCCTTAAAAACTGGCTGGATGTCTACTCTGGAAGCAGTCCAATCCTACACACATATACAGACCTTCAGCGGTCACGCCTCTAAAGTGAAAACACACTTGCTCTTTACAACTTAGGAAGGTCATTAGTTTACATTAAGTTATTAATAAGTCATATGATTTGCTAAATAAGACAGAACTGACTCATAAATGTGTAAAAGTGAGTCTTCATTTAGGCCATGGTTTGTTTATAGTTAATGACTGATATGAAATGATTATCATATTAATCACAGTACATGAAATCCATGATTTCTCAGAGATGACTTTGAGCATCAGTGTAAATACTATGACCCTTGATTAATCAACATATCATAAAATAATTTCACTAGTAATAATATAATGAGTAGCAAGTTGAAAACAATGAATTACAAAAGTTTAGAAGTATAACTATACATTCTAATTTACTATTTCTTAAAGCTCAGAAAACATTCACAACTTTTTCTGATGAAAAACAAATCCTTCTTTGGTCCAAATGTTTAATCTTTTCTATAACAACACTTAACCACACACACAAACTACTTGGGCTTACAATTCCTATAAAATGACAGGTTAGAGCCAGAAACTGTGAATTAAGTTCTAAGGACTAGAGCACACTAACAATGCTGTACAAACATTAACCATCAGGGTACGGGGACACTACACACTAACAATGTTGTACAAACATTAACCCTCGGAGGACGGGACACTACACACTACAATGCTGTACACACGTTATCCTGGGAGGACGGGACACTACACACTAACAATGCTGTACACACGTTATCCTGGGAGGACGGGACACTACACACTAACAATGCTGTTCACACGTTACCCTGGGAGGACGGGACACTACACACTAACAATGCTGTACACACGTTATCCTGGGAGGACGGGACACTACACACTAACAATGCTGTACACACGTTATCCTGGGAGGACGGGACACTACACACTAACAATGCTGTTCACACGTTATCCTGGGAGGACGGGACACTACACACTAACAATGCTGTTCACACGTTACCCTGGGAGGACGGGACACTACACACTAACAATGCTGTTCACACGTTATCCTGGGAGGACGGGACACTACACACTAACAATGCTGTTCACACGTTACCCTCGGAGGACGGGACACTACACACTAACAATGCTGTTCACACGTTATCCTGGGAGGACGGGACACTACACACTAACAATGCTGTACACACGTTATCCTGGGAGGACGGGACACTACACACTAACAATGCTGTTCACACGTTATCCTGGGAGGACGGGACACTACACACTAACAATGCTGTTCACACGTTACCCTGGGAGGACGGGACACTACACACTAACAATGCTGTACACACGTTATCCTGGGAGGACGGGACACTACTTTGCTGAAATGAAGCAGCTGCTGATCTGCACAACAGAGGGTTTGCAGGTCTGGCTCCACATTAACTCCTTCTTTGACAACTCTCTACAAACATAATGACAGTATAGCAATGTCTCGCCACACAAATGTACTGGGCAATATGTAACTGACAGCCCTCAGTGCCTGTCTTCAGGACAGTCCAGGTGTGTATTTAGGCAAGCTTTACCCATCACAGCCCTAAGGGACAGTGACAGCTGTAACCTCACAGCTGACTTGTTGACTCCTTTCCTTGGGCCAGATTAGCATTGCAGCAGGGGTTTAACCCTGCACTTACTGGATCAATAAGATCAACCAATATGGGTCCAAGACACACAGAGATGTTTACACTGGAGACCAGCTTGTGTAAGTGGCAAGAGTTTTATGTCTTAGGAAAACACATACAAAGCTCACCAAACATAAGCATCTACAGACCGCATCTCACAGTTCGGGAGTGGCTGCTGCTACCATGCTACCATGCAATGACTGGCCTCTCAAGCTTGACTTTGCTCAAGCCCCAGCCATCCCCCTTCTCAAAACAAAGCACGGAGAGTGTGGCAAAGTGTAAAGAAAAGCCAGCTCTCAACCTGCAGGGCATGCCATCTATAGAAGGCTATCTGCAGAAACTGCTGTTCTGCTTTTAAAGCTACATCCTCTAGTCAGTAAAATCAGGGTAATGGGGACCTTCATAACATCTGCCTATGGTGGCGGATGTGCTCACTACTTTGTGTGGCTAACATTATACCAGCAAGCCTTTTGTTTGCTCAGAAAAGGAAAACACAAGGCAAAGTTCTGAGACTCTTTACCTGGCCATATATGGTCTCAGCTAAACTGAACCCTGGGTTGAAGCTATGAAGACTTTTTATTGGCCATGATCAATATAAAACTGAATTCTGTTCTTATTTAAAGAAGAGACCTAGCTTGACAAATATGTGTGGTGGGGTGATGATCTATCTGGAGAACACATTTTCCGCACCCAGTCTTTCAGTGGCAAACATGGGGCCCAGGGCGTCCTGCTGGGGTAGTGCTATTCCTTAATGAAACTGTTGCTCCGCCCAACTGGAACCAGTCATCAAAGGGCATAAATGACATTATTATAATTTTTTATTTAAATTAAAAATAAACTTATTTTTACACTCCAATCCCAGTTCCCTCTCCCTCCCACCGTCCCATCGTCTCCCCTTCCCACCCCCATCCATGCCCGGGGGGGGGGGGGGCGGGTGAGGCCTCCCATGGGGATCATGGGAATTACAAGTGGGCCACCATGCCCACATTTACGTGGGTTCTGAGGAATCTGAACTCCTACACCAAGTTCTTTAACCACTGAACCACCCCCCAGCTTCTCTTACTAATTTTTAAATAAAACTGAACCAGAAAACACTAGAGATGAAGTACACTGCTCTTCAATGTGACAGCACATGTCAAGTAGGGAAAGTCAACAGGAACAACACAGAGACTAATCCCAATGAAACACAATTCAACAAAACATTCTTGAGTGACATAACTGACATGAATTTAACATAACCATCCCATAGTATTTATCACAGCACTGATATGAAATTTTACCCTAATTATTAACTACGGACTCCCCATTTTAATAAGACTGTAGAAAGGCTGGATTATATGGTACATAAAAATGGAACTATGATTGTTCAATTAATTACTCTACTTTATTTCATGGCAGTAAAAGAGAAAACTGATTTAGGTTGAGAAATGGGAATATTATCTTGGCTCTTGTAATAAGATCCTGAACAGTGGATGTAATAAACCAAATTAAAAATAGAAGAGCTGGTAGAGTTGTGGGTGAGGAATGGGATGAGTCTCCCAACGGCACTGCTCAGAAAACACTAAGTAGGTCGGTCACACACTTAGACACACTTCAAGCATGCCCACGGTAAGCAAAGGCACTGTAGAAATGGGGTGAGCTCATCCATGACATGTCACTGCTGAGGTCCTTCATACACAGACTCTCACTGGGACTTGAGGGACTTCCCGAATAGGTACAATGCAATACACACAAGTCTTGATCAGTAGATGAAAGCAATATTTTAAATGTCTTTACTTAGCATAATAACATGCAGAGGCACAGAGGCAGAATTAGCTGAAACACATATTTTTTAAAAGTGAGGTTGGACTTTTTCTCCTGAAAAGAAATTTCAAAAACATATTAGTGAATAGTCCCTTAACAACCTGATTTCTTCTGCTTCTACACGTCAGAAGCACATTGAGGTTATCTGCAGGAAACCCAGAAGAGGGACACAGATACAGAGACAGGGGAATATAGATACAGGACAGGACACAGGACACAGGACAGGACACAGACACAGGACACAGACACAGGACACAGACACAGGACAGGACACAGACACAGGACACAGACACAGGACAGGACACAGACACAGACACAGGACACAGACACAGGACACAGACACAGACACAGGACAGGACACAGACACAGGACAGGACACAGGA